GGGAGCAGCTGAGCATCTCGAATTAGAAAGCAATGGCGTTCTTGCTTCTGCTACAAAGTCCCTAGCTCTAAGCCTTCCAACCTTCTAAATATTCCTTTATATGTTGTTCAGAGTTCTGGCACCATCCCCTGAGTCTGCTTGGTCTGGTATTCTGTGTTGTTGCTGACGGAGCTCCTCACGATCCACCATCTTGTTTGTTCCTGTATTGTTTTTCAAAAAACATTTTATTATGGTTTGGGTGGAAGTCTACAGAACCCGTTAGTTTCACATTCAACAATTTATGTACATTCTGTGTTGTGATATTAGTCATGTGACAGTTCTCTATATAGCAGCACTCCTTTTCCTGCTTCCTCCATGGGTTCCCTGTTTCCATTTGTCCTTCTCTCCTGACCTTTGCTGAACTTTGCTTTTGGGCAATTGATTGAGTTTTCAGTGGCTGACTTTTTTCAGATCACCAGGCTTTTATTCCTAGGAACTTCTCTGTGGATTCAAACCTCTAAGCACTCGGTTAGTAGCCAAACCTGTGAACTGTTTACACCACACAAGACCTCCCGCAGGCGTAATACCCATTTTGCAGAGGAAGAAACAGAGGTTCAAAAAGGCCAAGTGACTTGTAAACCAGTGAAAAAGTAACAGAGCCAGGACTTGAACTGAGGCCAACCATTACTACATTATTCACTTTCCCTCCACAAGCCTTCAAAAACCTCAGCACCCATCCTGATCAAAAGGGGGGAAATGCAGAGCAGAATTGAAAACTCTCATAGAATCCAGACTTCTGGAGTTATGGTGGCTGGATGAATCGCTTGAAGTAATCTTTAAGCTTTAACTCAAAAATGCCTCCTGAAGCCATCTTAAAACCGAACCATAGTTTAGCTTAACTAGTAAACAGTATCTGCCTTAATCATTATACCCTTTTAAAAGAAATCTATTTAAATAGAATCAAACTGATAGCAGGAATTTGAAGGATTAGATCGGAACTCTGGGGGCAGTGAGTTTATGTTAATGAGGGGGGAGCAGCTCAGAATAAAAAGGTGAGAATGGTTCACAATTTACAGAATTACACAATTTACAGAATGATGGGTGCTCCAAAACCCAGGAGGGAACCCCGTTCTTGTCAAAGGGTGTTGGCCAGTACGTGGGTCCTGAGGATAAAAATTCTGAGCACTTTCTCTGGGTGAAGCATACAACCTGGTATTATGTTTCACACATAAGGAGCTCTGGTAGCGTAGTGGTTACAAATCGGGCTGCTAACCTCAAGGTCGGCAGTTCGAAACTGTTCTGTGGGAGAAAGATGAGGCTTTTTGCTCCAGTAAAGATTTGCAGCCTCAGAAACCCTGTGCAGGGTCACTATGAGTCGGAACTGACTCCATGGTACTGTACAACAACATAGGAAATGCTCAGGAGACAAACTTGGTTTTATACCCATTTTCCAGATGAGGAACCAAGTGTAGAATGAGAGATTTGCTGGGCTTCAAAGCCAGGCAGACTAACCCATCCCTGCTGTCACCCACTTGGCTAATTGGATTCTTTTGAAAGAGAGCCCAGAGCAGCTTGAGATGTGTGTGTGGGGGGAATACCCTTCTCAGGGGTCCCTTGGCCAGCTCTCTGAGCCTGGACCCCTAGGCAGAGGGTACCTGGGGTAGGGCACATGCTGTGGGTACCACATGCAGGGGGGTACCAGTGAGCAATTTCTATTTGCCATCACAGCGTCCATAGCTGGAAAGATCATTCAGCAATTCAAAAGGAATTGTTGCAACGTAGTCCGCAAACACAATGCTCTGCATCCCACTTGGATGAGTAGTCACTGAGGACTTAAAAACTTGTGATCATCCATCTAAGGTGCAACTACTCTTCCCTCCCTGTCCTGAGCAAAGAAGACTGGAGAGAACCAAAAACTCAAGAAAATAGTGAGTCCAAAGAACAAATGGTCCATGTGAACCACAGCGTCCACTAACCAAAGACCAGAAGAACTAGATGGTGCCCAGCTACCATTACCGTCCTGGACAGAGTGGGAGAAAAAGGGTAAAACAAAATTCAGAATAATCACAAAGACCAGACTTTACTGTTCAGATAGAAAAATCTCAAGACATCCTTCAAGCCTGGAACTGAACCCACCTCCCACCCCTACCTTAAAACCCATCAGGAGCGAGCTGCTCAGAACAATCAACCATATGGAACCCAAAGGGCAGTGTGTAAAACAAAAACAAAACAAAACAAAAAAAAAGCTCAGAAGGCTTGAAGGGGCAGGAACCAAGGGGGAATGGAAAGGAGAACCTGGGGAAGAAGGGGGGAATGCTGTTATATTGAGGGACTTATACCCAAAGTCAGAAAACGAAATGTGTTAATTGTTGAATAGAAAGCTAATTTGCTGTTAACTTTTATCCAAATTGCAATAAAGACTGCAAAAAAACAACAACAAAAAAGGAGTTGTTATGGGCATTATTTTCCTTAGATACGTCTCTGCCCCAAGAGGCCCCTTGCACTCTTTCCCTGGGGGACAAGGGCTCCGTTCTAATACTGCTGTTTGCTCAATACATCCAGCTGGGAACCATGGCATGAGGCAGCTCTGTGCTTCTGAGCACTCAGCTGGCCTAGTGGGGACTGGGGTGAAACCAAGGACACCTGGGCCTGGTCCCATTTCTGACTCTGTCCCCACCCCCTGCTCCAGAACTGGTGGCACTTCTCTGGGAGCTTTGAGGGGTGGGGGAGGAGGGTGTCTGCCCTTAGATGCCTGCACTATTTCTGGACTCTCGTTGATCCTACTGCCAGGGCACATGGGCAGGCGCTTGGAGCAGACCCTACTTGGATCACATCAGTCAGATGCCAGTCACAGCCCTCCACTGCCCTGACCCCAACACTTCTAAATTAAGCACAGACTTGGGGCCTCCCTGAGTGCTATTCATGAGCTTGGGGTTCCTCTCTAGCTACTCATACCTGCCTGGAAGGACCCCCTACTCTGCAGGAGGGAGCCAGTCCTAAGTGTGAGCTGTCCTGAGGTTGTTGGAGGACAGCAAGTCTCCAGAGTCAGCTGCGCTCCTGGTGAAGCTCTGGTTAGGGTCCATCTGTTCTTTGTAGCACCCATGACAGCCCCTCACCCTCACGGTGACCCTGAGCAGCAGGAGCTGAGCTCATCAACACGCATGGAAAGGGCACCGAGTTCAGGTACCACCGTAGCACCCAAGTGGGGAGGTGAGCTTTGTGCCCAGGCAGGGGGCTCTGGAGTCTCCGCTGTCAATGCCGCGCACTAAGGGCTTTACCAACAGCACATATATTCATCTGTACACATACTCGTTGCCATGGGGTTAATTTCAACTCACAGTGACCCTACAGAACAGTGTTGTTGTTAAGTGCCGTCGAGTCAATACCAACCCAGAGCGACCCTGTACAGGGTTTCCAAGGAGCAGCTGGTGAGCTTGAACCACCGATCTTGCAGTTCATATGACTTTGCAGTCTGGTGCATTAGCCCACAGCGCCACACCAGGATTCCACCTGGTTGGTTCTGCTAGGTGAGTTCAAAGCCAACCTTAGGTAAGCAGTGAAGTGCAAATTGTTTATAGTACCCAGAGACCTGTGTCTATCTACACATTGTTTTATATATGCATACATAAATATATATTATATAGATAAGGGGGCTTCAAAATGTTGGTGGGAAAATTCCATTATTTTTCAATTCCATTTTTCCTTGAACTGTCTGAAGCCTTCTCATATTTATATCATTGTTATTGTTAGTGAATGTAAGCTTGGCCCCTGCCTCATAGCCACTCTTTGCACAACAGGACACCATGCCCAGTCTTGAAGCATCTCCATGACCAGTTGTGGGACAGGCCTTTGGGATCCATAGGGTTTTCATAGGCTGATTTCTGGAAGTAGATTGCCAGGACTTTCTTCCGAGGTGCCTTTGGGTGGACTAGAAACTCCAGCCTTTCAGTTAGTAGATGAGCACTTAGCTGTTTGTACCACTCTTTCTTTAATCATGAAGGGCTATTGAATTATGTCATGTTTTTTTAAGACACATCCTTACAATGTTCAGGACTAGCGCTTCTTTCTTCCTGAGACATTCTGAGGGAGTGCTAGATCATTGCTCTGATGCTCTTGTGTCACTGTGGTGCAAAGTGTTGAATTAAACAGTGTTGGGCTCTGTACCACCCCTCCGGCTGCTCCCCACCTCACCCACCCTATCTGCCCACCCCTAGGCCTATGAGAAGCGCTTCCCCACTTGCCCGCAGATCCCAGTCTTCCTGGGCAGCGAGGTCCTGAGTGAATCCCACAGCGCTGACGGAGCGGTACACGTGGTGGAGCGGAGCTGCCGGCTGCGTGTGGAGGCCCCACGGCTGCTGCGGAAGGTGTGAGCCGAGGGGATGCGGGAACTGGGGGCATCAGGCCAGGCGGGGTTGGGTGGCGGCCGGAACTGTAGTGTTGATAGTGAGGAGGGGGTGCTTCTCTGGGGTTCACGGATGAAGCAAGAAAGGGTTGATGGTCCAGAGAGGTGCCGGGAGCGACGCCCAGGGGATCTGGGAAGGGTATGGGGGTCCTGAGGGTGGGGGGATGTGGAGGAACGGGCCGTGAGGTTAGGACCAGGTGCTGAGAGGCAGCAGGGGTCCGGACAGGGTCCAGGTCTGGGGGCTGTGGGCTATGCTGGGGGTGACTCGGGGAGGCGGCTGGGGTCTGGGGTTGAGGCTCTGGATGTGACGCCAAGGCGCAGAGAGGGTGGGCTAGCATCCTGTTGGGGGCCGGGGTTCTGAATCACACACACACACACACACACACACACACACACACACACACACACGGGGTCCTCTGCAGCCAATCGCCCTGTCTCTGGCAGATCGCAGGTGTGGAGCATGCCGTCTTCATACAGAGAAACGTCCTGAACTGGAAGGAACGCACACTTCTCATTGACGCACATAACGAGACCTTTGCCAGCCGCGTGCAGGTCAGCGAAAGCTGCAGCTATACGGTGAGTGCCACAGCGGCCGTGCCACCAGCTCTGTGCCCAGCATCCCACCCTCCCTCCTGGTCCTTGCTGATAAGCTACAAAATACCTAGTTGTATTAGTGTTGTTGTTGTTGTTGTTAAGTGCTGTTGAGTCAATTCCAACCCATAGTGACCCTGTATAAGGTTTCCAAGGAGCGGCTGGTGAGCCTGAACCTCCGACCTTGCAGTTCAAACGGCTTTGCAGTCTGGCATTACCCCACAGCCCCACACCAGGTCAGATAAACAGTAATGCTTTTGTAGTACAAGGTTTTTTCACTGGCTAATTTTTTTGTTGGGGTAATAGGTCTCCAGGTATTTCTTCCTACTCTTAGTTTGCAATCTCCTAAAGCCTGCCCACCACAGATGATTTTGCTGGTATTTGATGACCAGCTTCCATCATCCCAGCAACTTAAAAACCACTACAATACAACAAATGATGTGCTGGTGTTCAGTATAAGTAAATCTTATAAATGACTTCTGGTGTGGTGCTATAAGACAAATACTGGACTGCATATCGCAGGCCAGTGGTTCAAATACACCAGCTGCTCCTCAGAAACTCTGTACAAGACTCGATAGCACTTAACTACAACAGTAAATCTGTATTGGAGCAGAAAACCTCATCTTCCTCATACGGAGACACAGATGGATTCAAACTGCTGACCTTTCATTCGGTTAACAGCCCAATTCGTAACCCACTATACTACCTTTAATAGGAGTATTGGTTGGTTGGTAATGTGCCATCAAGTCGGTTCCAACTCATAGAGACCTTGTGTAGGGTTTCCGAGGCTGTAAATCTTTACGGGAGCAGAAAGCCTCATCTTTCTCCAGTCAAGTGACTGAAAGATTCAAAGTACTGATCTTGCAGTTAGGCAGGCCAGCTCATAAGCCACTATGCTATCAGGGTACAATTAATGCAAGTATAATTAATAATTACCTTTATTATCTCCTGGTGTGGTGCTGTAGGATAAGCACTGGACTGCTAACCGCAAGGTTGGTGGTTCAAACCCACCAGCTGCTCTTGGAAACCCTATAGAGGGTCATCATAGTTGGACTCAATGGCACTTAACAGCAACAACATATATAGCTTCTTGTTAAGTGTCATTGAGTCAGTTCAGACTCAAAGTAACCCTGTATAGGGTTTCCAAGTTCAAACCCACCAGCTGCTCTGAGGGAAAACGGTGGTGTAGTCTGTTCCCATGGAGCTTTATAGCCTTAGAAACCCTAGAGGAAGCAGTTTTCTTCTGTGTCTTAGGGTCACATGAGTCAAAATTGACTCTACAGCAGTGGGTTTATCCTCTATATAAATAACTGACTAAGAGATATATAGGTACATATGCGGGTTAATGCGGCAGACTGCAAAGCCGTTTGAACTGCAAGATCGGTGGTTCAAGCTCACCAGTCGCTCCTCAGAAACCCTATACAGGGTCGCCATGGTTGGAATTCACTGGACAGTACTTAACAACAACAATAATACATATGTATATAGAGTCCTGGTGTGGCGCTGTGGGTTAATGTGCTGTACTGCAAAGTCGGTTTGATCCCCAAGGTTGGTGGTTCAAGCTCACTAGCTGCTTCTTGGAAACCCTATGTAGGGTCACTATGGGTTGGAACCAACTCAACGACATTTAACAACAACATATATGTATATATATCAATCCTCTAGGGTTTCTGAGACTGTAAATCTCTATGGGAGCAGACTGCATCATTTTTGTCCCTCAAAGCAGCTGGTGGGTTTGAACTTCCACCCTTGCCATTAGGAGTCCAATTAGCAACTTATCCCACAGCACCACACCAGGACTGTATACACACACATATACACACACAACAGCAATAACAAACTTTGCTGGCAGACTCCTCTACAGACCCCAGCTCAATGCTTCTTGAACCAACGTCCTTGAGCAGAAGACCACCAGGAGTCTGTTAAGTATGCAGATTCCTGGGCCCACTCTTAGTAACGTGTGACTGCGCAGCTCCAGGACAGAGCAGCAAATCTGCCATCAGAGTAATACATTGTTGTTGTTGTTGTTAATGTGCCGTGGAGTCGGTTCCAACTCATAGCGACCCTATGCAGGGTTTCCGAGGCTATAAATCTTTATGGGAGCAGAAAGCCTTACCTTTCTCCTGTGGAACAGCTGGTAGTTTCGAACTGCTGACCTTGCGGTTCACAGACCAATTCGTAACCACTATTGTACCAGAGCTCCTTTTTTGTATTATATATATATATATAATACATAGTTGGTTTTTAGTGCAATGGAGTCAGTTATGACTCATAGCAACTCCAAGGAGCAGCTGGTGGGTTTTGGTTAGCAGTCCAGAGTTTATCCTACAGCGCCACACCACGACTCCATATATAACACAGATATTATATATATAATATAGTTTTTAAATCCCTGGGTAGTGCAAATGGTTAATATGCTTGGCTGAACCCACTCAACAGCAAATGGGTTTACATACACACATAGGCACACACACATGTAAGGCACAGGGGCTCAGTGACCAGCCTTGGATTACTCCTGGCCCCTGATGAGCTATCTGTTTGTTCCTTACTAGTTGAGACTTTGGGCAGGGCCCTTTGGTACTATTGACCCCCACCCCCCTGCCTCGGTATTGTCCCCCCAGCTTCGGATGTTGTTCAAGTGTGTCCTGGCAGGACCCAGGTCACTGGGAGTGCCCTGGCTGAGGGACCCAGTATCCCCAAACCACGGCCCTGTCACCTTTGCCTCTGGCTTTCAGGTCCACCCTGAGAATGAGGACTGGACCTGCTTCGAGCAGTGTGCTTCCCTCGACATCCGGTCCTTCTTTGGCTTTGAGAATGCCCTGGAGAAGATCGCCATGAAGCAGTACACAGCGAACATCAAGAAGGTGAGGAGCTGCTAGTCCTGGGTTCAAGTCCTGCCACCTGTCAGCCCATGCAATACCACCATCCTGAGCCTCAGCCCCCTTGTCTATAAAATGTATATTAAAGTAATGGTGGGTGGAAAACACCCAGCCCATAGTGAGTGTATCCTCATCACTGTCCCAAAGTCCCCAGATGTCGGGGTTTGAGGAGTCAGTTGTCTGGGTGGAGGCAGGGCATTCTGCAATGCTTTGTCCTGCTTAGAAGGATTGCTCCATGATTTAAAGATCTCAGACCCATCCCTGCGTAAGATGCCGCTGAGTGTAATGAAACAGGTGAAATTCACTTGAATGATACATTTCATCTAACATGTTAACAATATGAAAATTATGATGAGACATTTTGCATTCTCTTTTCATACTGTATCACTGTCTTGTGGCTGCTGTAACAAAGTACCACAAACTGGGCAGCTTAAAACTAATTGTAGAAGTTCCTCCTCTCACAGATCTATCTGGAGGCTGAAGTCCCAGACCATGGTGTCAGCAGGGCCACACTTTCTCTGCAGGCTCTAGGGGAGGATCCTTGTTTCTTCTTGCTTCTGGTGGCCCCAAACATTCCTTGGTTTGTGGCAGCATCACTCCAATCCCTGCCTCCATCTTCACATGGACCTCTCTATATGTCTTTGTGTCTTTTCCTCTTTATCTAAGGACACCAGTCATATTACTGGACTAGGGTCCACCATGATAGCTCAGCTTAACCTGATTCCAGCTACAAAGATGCCGTCTCCAAGTAACGTCACACTCATGGGCATTGGGGTTTAGGGCTTAAACCTATCTTTTGGAGAAACACAATACAACCCATGCGCTATAGGCATACTTCAGAGATATTGTAGGTTCATCTCCAGACCACCATAGCAAAACCGGTATCATGATAAAATGAGTCATGTGAATTTCAGAATTTCAGTGTTTCACAAAAGTAAAATTTACACGGATACTCAACTGCCACCTACAAAGTGTGTGATAGCGTTATGAAAAAGTTTGGAATCTTACGAGAATAACCAAAATGGGCCACAGACACATGAGGTGAGCACATGCTATTGAAACAATGACGCCGACACACATGTTCAACACGGGGTTGCCTCAAACCTGCAATTTGTAAGAAATGCAGTATCTGTGAAGCGTGATACAGTATAGCCCAGTGTAGCTTTTCAACAGTAGCAGGTTCTAAGCCTTGCAGTGTGGTGTGTGTTCCATGTATACCACATCTGCACCGGGACCAGTTTACTGCCAACTGCTCATGAACTGGGTATCTGAGTTGAGACTGCTCCCAGGTGGGAGTGACCAGTGCTGATGTGTTCTGGTCTCTCTGGCTTCCAGGGCAAGGAGGTGATTGAGTATTACCTGAATGAGCTGATCTCCCAAGGTGTTTCTCACATTCCCCGCTGGACACCTGCCCCCGTCCGCGAGGAGGACATGCGCACCCAGGCTGGGCCACAGGTTCTGGGCCCCATGGAGGCCAGCCCACCCACTAACTCCCTGGACCTTGCTCTGGATTCGGTCACTGTGGATGGTAGGTCTCTGCAGCCTACTGAGAAGAGTCACCATGGACCCCCTTGGGTGTAGGATAGATCCCAGTGGGACTATAGCCGCACACACCCCCACCCTACCCCACGCTGGCTACGAGCCAGAATTGGTTAATTTCTAGATCAGCGATTGACCGCTGGTGACTCAGCATAGCTTGTTCCTCGGCCTTTGTGACTATTTTTAATTATGTGAGTAATGCATGCTCATGGGAGAAAAAAATGCAAACTGCTCCCAAGATGAGCAGGGAGGAGTGGGAGGCCCTTTCCTCTTCCTTAAGGCAACACTAGTTTCATGTCTATACTGCCGGCCAACATCTGAACATGTACAGGTGGTGGTTGTTGTTAGCTTCCCTCAGGGCAACTGTGACTCATGGCGACCCCATGTGTGCTGAGTAGAACTGACCATAGGGCTTTCGAGGGTGTGACCTTTCTGAAGATTACCAGGACTTTACTCCAAGGCATCTTTGGGCAGACTTGAACCACTAATGTTTTGGTTAGTTAAAAGCTTAACTGCTCCACAGGGAGTCACTTGCTTTTTAATTCCATTTTCCCATGAACTTTTTGAAGCCCCCTCTTATAAAGAGTCCTTATAGTTCTTTAGCTGCTAACCTAAAGCTTGGTGGTTTGAACCCACCAGCTGCTGCAGGAGAAAGATGTGCTTCTGTAAAGATATTTTTACAGCCTTGGAAGCCCTAGGGGACAGCTTTACTCTGCCCTGCAGGATCACTGGACATCAGAATCGACTCTATGGCAATGGTTTGGGTTTGGGGTTTAATATTTTTAAACAACTTTCTGTGATCGCATACTGCTATTTCCTATTGTGGCTAAACCATTATTTAGCTAAGTCTCTTTTGATGGGCATAGTTTGTTTTTGTTTTTTTAAAAATACAATCTAAGATGCATTTGTCTTTTATTTTGTATTTTTAATATATTTGTATAAAATTTTTAAAGTGGATTACTGGGTCAAAAGTATTATACAATTAAAGTTTTGGTAGCTGTAACCTCTCCACTGGACCAGTAAATAACACCGATAAATGGAGAAAAGACTGAAGTTGTCAAAGACTTCATTTAGCTTGGATCCACAATCAACACTCATGGAAGCAGCAGTCAAGTAATCAAATGACATACTGCATTAGGCAAATCTGCTGCAAAAATGTTCAAAGCAAAGATCTCACTTTGAGGAATAAGGTATGCCTGACCTAAGCCACAGTAGTTTCCTTCTTCTCATTTGCATGTGAAAGTTGGGCAGTGAATATGGAAGACCATAGAAGAGTCAATGCATTTGAGTTATGGTGTTGGTAAGGACTATTCAAAGTACCATGGACTGCCAGAAGGACAAACAGATGACAGAAGTAAGGATAGCCAGAATGTGCCTGAGAAGCTCGAAAGCAAGACTTCATCTCTTAGACTTTAGACATATTATCAGGAGGGACCAGTCCCTGGCGAAGGACATCATGCTTGGTAAAGTGGAGGGTTAGTGAGAAAGAGGAAGACCCCCAGCGAGATGGATAGGTGTAGTGTTAACAACAGTGGCTCAAACATAACAACAATTGTGAGGATACTGGAGCTTCCGGGATTGTTTCGTTCTATTTTCAGGGTTGCTATGAGTCAGAATCAATTGGACGGCACCTAACATGACGACACCACCAACCCATATGCCTACCTAAGAGGTTGTATTAATAAATGGTCCTACTAAAAGTGTGTAACTGTGTCTTTTCCCAACTTCATCCCTACTCCCCACAAGACTTTTATTATTAAACAATTTAAATTTCCAAAAGGTACAAAACAGTTGCTGGTAGAGTGCTTAGTTCTTTGATTACGAGACAGGTCAGGTATTTTCTGAGCAGGGACCAATAATTCTAAATTTGCCTCCCAAACCCCGAGGGGCCCAAGAGTCCAAAGAACGAGGCTGCCAACTCCCGGATTACAGTATAAACCAAAAAACCCACTGCCATCTCATTGATTCTGACTCACAGTCAGCCTGTAGGACAGGGTAGAAGTGCTCTAAAGGATTTCCAAGGCTGTAAATCTTTTCAGGAGCGAAAAACCCCATCTTTCTCCCTTGGAGCAGCTGGTGGGTTTGAACCGCTGACCTGTGGTTAACAATCTAATGCTTGCCCCACTCTGCCACCAGAGCTCTGAGGGATTATGGTTTTTGTGGTTGTCAAGTCAGTTCTGACTCACAGTGACCCTGTATAGGGTTTCCAAGGAGCAGCTGGTGGGTTTGAACCACCGACCTTGTGGTTAGCAGCCCAGTGCTAGTTATCCTCCAGCACCACAGGATTATGGTTGTTGTTGTTGTTGTTGTTGTGTGCCATCGAGTCGGTTCCGACCCATAGCGACCCTGTACAGGGTTTCCGAGGGTGTAAATCTTTACGGGAGTAGAAAGCCTCATCTTTCTCCCTTATGGTAGAGGGGTTTATTAAGGGGCTTACTAACAAGGCTGATCCCTGGGTGGTGGCAGGGATAGTCTTCTATCCCTGCCCCACAGAGGGAGGTGGGGGTTTTTATAGGTGCCTGAGCTGTGGACCCCCAAGGACACCCCAGCCAGTGTTACATAAGAGTGATTTAGCAAGCAGACATGAACCAGCAGCAAGCACGAGCATAGCCATATCTGGCCTGGAAAAAGCCTGCCCCCCTATAAACCTTCTTCATGTTTAGGGTTCTATAATCCTTCATTCAGGTGCAGGGATCTTTGTTTCCCTCTTTTGTGAATTCCTGCTCTTGCTCTCATCCCATTTTTATATTTTCTTTCTGACTGATTTTCATTGAATTGATTCTCACTCATAGTAAACCTATAAATCTTTACAGGTAGAAGTAGATAGCCTCATCTTTTTCCCTCAGGGCTACTGGTGGATTTGAACCACAACCTTGTGGTTAGCAGCCAGGTGCTTTCACCACTGTGCCACCAACACTCCTTTTAACCAAACGCATTGCTGTAGTAGAGTTGATTCTGGCTCATAGTAATCCTATGGTGGTGGTGGTGGTTATGTGCTATGGAGTCGGTTCTGACTCATAGCAACCCTGTACAGGGTTTCCGAGATGTAAATCTTTACAGGAGCAGAAAGCCTCATCTTTCTTCCGCAGAACAGCTGGTAGTTTCGAACTGCTGACCTTGTGGTTTGCAGCCCGATTCGTAACCACTATGCTACCAGAGTTTTACTCTGTCCTATAGGATTACCTTTAGTAAAACTTCCCCATGGGGTTTTGGAGGCTGTAAATCTTTATGGAAACAGATGGTCACATCGTTCTCCAGTGGAGTTGCTGGTGGGTTTGAACTGCCAACCTTATGGTCAGCAGCCCAATACTTACCCCTCTGGGCCACCAGGGCTCTTGGGAGAGCTCCAGAGGGTAGGAATTCATATCTTTATCTCAGAGGGTCAAAGAGGAGAATTCATTGACTCCAGGGAGATGTGAGAGGGTCCTTGGGACAGAAATGTGCATCTTCAGAACCACTTTAGAAGCTGTCTGCCGGTGATGCGGCCACAGTCTTGCTGAGAACCAAGTTCTGGAGCCAGGATGATCAAGAAGCATCTCCCTCTTGTCTGAGCCATCTCCTCTACCTCCCAGGGGACAAGCTGGACGGTGACTACACTGAACGGCACCTGGGCCCACTCACGCCCATGCAGGAGAGCTGTCTGACCCAGCTGCGGCACTGGTTACATGAGACCCACAAAGGCAAGGTGGGTGCAGACCCCCGGAGCAGCATGTGTGCCTTCAGTCATAGCAGGTACTCAGACACACACACGGTGGTGGTGATGGGGAGGTGGGAATCTGCTCATGAAATTGGCAACACAGGAAGTTGATACTTCACCTTATTTGTACCATATACTGCCTCATGTGGTGCAAACGATTAAGTGCCAGGCTTTTAACCAGAAGGTTGGTGGTTCAAATCCACTCAGAGGCACCTCGGAAGAAAGTCTTGGCAGTCTGCTTTTGCAAGGTCACAGCCACGAAAACCCAGTGGAGGTCACAACCATGAAAACCGCACACATGGCGTGGTTGTGAGTCAGAATCAAGTCTGTGACAGTCAGTATGGTTGGTTGGTTGTTGTTTGTTTTAAAGGATCCATGGTAAGGCAGCAGCTATGTGCTTGGATGCTGACTGAAAGATCAGTAGTTCAAACCCACCAGCTGATACTTGGGAGAAAGATGAAGCAGTCTGCTTCCATGCATGATGGCCTTGGTTTCCAGTGGGCAGTTAGTTCTACTCTGTTTTGTAGTTTGTGCTGACTGTCTGTACCCATAATACAGTACATGCTTTGCTATTTTCCCTTCTTAATCTTGGTACTGTTGGCCTTGTGGGAGTGGACTGGGGGGGGGGGCAGGAGGGGGGATGAGGTCCTGTGATCATTTATACAGTCCGCCCCTTGAATGCCTTTGTGCCTGTGCTTAGGGGGACAAATCGGGTTCATTTCCAGCTAATTTAGGAGCCCTGGTGGCACCGTGAATTAGGCATTGGGCTGCTAACTACAAGGTTGGTGGTTCAAACCCACCAGCCGTTCCAAGAAAGAAAGATGAGGCTCTCTGCTCCCATAAAGATTTACAGTCTGGGAAACCCTCGGAAGTAATTATACTCTTTCTTGTAGGAATCCAATTGATGGTAGTGAGTTTGGATTTTTATTCCTAGAGAAGCATTTTGCAGCGGAGACAGGAAACCTGCTTTCTGTCATGTGACATGCTGGATGAGGGAATCGGTCCTATGGGTTTTCTCCTCCTCCTTCTCTCAGATCCCTAAAGATGAGCACATCCTCCGGTTCCTGCGGGCTCGAGACTTTCACCTGGACAAGGCGCGGGACATGCTACGACAGTCCCTGAGCTGGCGGAAGCAGCACCACGTGGACTCGCTCCTTCAGACCTGGCGGCCCCCTGCCCTGCTGGAGGAGTTCTACGCAGGTGGCTGGCACTATCAGGACATAGGTGTGTGCCTTTGCCCACATAATGTAGACACGCATGGGGACTAGGGGCAGCTGCTCCACCAGAGAAAGGCCTGACCATCTGCTTCTGTAGGAGATACAGCCTAGAAAGCCCATGGGGTAGGGCTGCTATGACTCGACAGCACATGGTGACCACATTAGACAATGAATAAATGACCGGACCCTGGACATCTCCTACTCTGAGGAGCTAACTGTGTCATTCCTGCTTTGACCTGACCCCAAAAATACAAAACCTGTTAACATTGTGTCGACCCCAACTCATGGTAACCCCATGTGTATTCAAATAGAACTTGCCCCATGGGGTTTTCAAGGACTGATGTGTTTGGAAGCAGACTGCCAGTCTTTTCTTCTGAGGCACCCTTTCAGTTGGCAATTGAGCACATTCATGGTTTGCACCATGCAGGGATTCCTTTGGACATTCAGTAGGTGATTAATAGATGCCAAGGTCATCTTCTCACCTGAAGTCCCAGAGGAGACGTGGAAAGGGGGCAGCATTGGGAATTGAGCGTTGGAATCCAGACTTCCAGGATTTCTTTAACATGAAGAAATCCACCCAGGCTCCCTGGATCTGTGATGAGGAAGAGCTTACTTTTGAGCCCTCACAGAGCCACATTCATGATTTTTTAAAAAGCTTCAGAGATCCTATGCAGGGTCGCTATGAATTGAAACCGACTCGATCATATTTAACAACAACAACAACAACAACACAACAACACTTTCTACATAAAATCACTTGCTCTGTCTTTGATTCCAACTCCTGGCAACCCCGTGAATGTCAGAATAGAACTGAATTATATGATAGTTTACATGGGAGAACTTTAGTTTTACATTCATTCCATCGTATATCATCTTATTGCCATGGTTCCAATCCCCTTCATGCATCCTCAACCATCCAAAGGGTATATCCCAGAAACCCGCTCCCTACACTTCCCCCTCCTCCCCCCAGTTTTCGGCCCACAGTCCCTTTCCCTCTCTGGGTCCAAAGGGTTTCTTTTTTAAAATCATTTATTTTTATTTGTTGTTGTTGAGAATGTGCCCAGCAAAAACATGCACCAATTCAAGTGTCCACTGTATCATTCAGTGACATTGATGGTCTTCTTTGAATGGTGCAGCCTTTACCATCCTCCTTTTCTGAGCTATTTCTCTCCCATTCACAGAAACTCACTGTCTCCTAAGTTTCCATTCTAACCTTTCGAGTTGCTGTTGTCAATTTGTTCCCATCTAGATGGATCTTTTTGTTTTGTTGTGTGCCGCCGAGTCGGTTCTGATTGATAGAGACCCTGAATAGGGTTTCCAAGACTGTAAATCTTTACAGGAGCAGAAAACCACATCTTTCTCCCATGAAGTGACTGGTAGATTTGAACTTCTGACCTTGTAGTTAGCAGCCCGGCTTGTAATCCACTATGCTACGAAGCCTCTGGTAGAGCTTAAGAGAGTTCCAGTCCTAAGGCCCACCTTTTTTTTACTAGCTCAGCTAAATGGTTGTTCAATTTTAAGAAGACTTCAGGGCATAGTTTTGGCTTAAGGTTTAAAAAATGATCTCAGGGCAATAGTTTTAGGGTCTGTAGAGTTTTCAGTGGTTGATTTTTTTGTTGTTGTTTAAGTAGATTGCCAGGACTTTCTTCTGAGGTACTTCTTGGTGGGCCCAAACCTCCGACCTTTTCATTAGCAGCCACAATGTGTTAGCTGTTTGCACTACTCAGAGCCTTCCCCTGAATAACTGACCCTTCTCTCTGCTTGGTCTCCTCTCCCTGTACCCCCCAGATGGTCGCCCCCTCTATATCGTGCGCCTGGGCCAAATGGACACCAAAGGCTTAATGAAGGCGGTAGGGGAGGAGGCTCTGCTGCAACACGTGAGTGGGACCCTCTTCTGGAAACCCATGGTGGTTGGGCTGGGCTGGGAGGACTGTCTACACACCACCACCACACAAACACCTGCCAGTACCTTGTCTACCTTCTAGGTGCTTTCTGTGAACGAGGAAGGCCAGAAGAGGTGCGAAGGCAACACAAAGCAGTTTGGCCGTCCCATCAGGCAAGGTTCTCGGCTGACAGCGAATGTCCCTTAAGTGGTACACACACCTGATTTCCTCCCTTAGTCCCTAGGATGGCCCAGCGAAGCAGGGACTGTTCCTGTCCTTGATTTTTTTTGTTGTTTTTTAAAAATGTTTTATTGTGAATTATGTGATAGTTTACATGGGAGAACATTAGCTTTACATTCAGCCTATCATATATCATTTCATTGTCATGGTTATAATCCCCTCCATGCATCATCAACCAACCAAAAAAAGGTATACCCTGCAAACCTGTCCCCTCCCCGCCCACAGCACACAGCCCCCCTCTCTCTCTGTGTCTAAAGTCCCCAGCTGCTTCACCTCTCCACGTCATCATCTCTGCCTCCATCTCAGGCATCACTGCTTCTCTGGGTAGGGTCCTGTGCTCTCTGCTCTCCTCCCTTGATAGTCTCAGGGACCTCCGCTCCTGGACTGCAAAGTCAGTCACTCCCCTCCTTTTGCTACATAACGTCTACCTTTACATTTGTAACCCTCACAGTCAGTCCTGGTAACAATTATTCACTATTGTATCACAAGAGACCCGTCTGCATTTCCTTTCATCAGTCCTGCCTAGACAGATTGGATACTACTCAGTGGAGATTCTACCTTCCTCCATGCCCTCTGGATCTAGGCTCTCTCTTGAAAGCTTGTAAGCCCGTCACTTCTTGCCTTTGTAGCCTCCCATTTTGGGGAGCCAATGTCCAAGTTGCCCATCCCTGTCTACCCTGTGTAGCGAGGGAGTGGGACTGATCCTTGCTGTAAGGATTTGTTGCCTCTGTCCTTGTTTTTTAAAAAACATTTTATTGTGCTTTAGGGGCCTGGTGGCACTGTGGGTTAAGCATTGGGCTACTAACCACAAAGTTGGTGGTTCAAATCCACCAGCCTGCACTCCTGGGGAGAAAAAATGAGTCTGTCTGCTCCCATAAAGATCACAGTCGTGGAACCCCGGTTGTCGTGAGTCAGATCGACTCGATGTCAGTGACTGGGATTATGCTTCCGATTGAAGTTTACACAGCAAGTTCGTTTCCCATCAGTGACTCAGACACAAACTGTTCTGACATTGGTTATGACCCCTCAATGTGTCTAGCACTTGCCCCATTTCTACCCTGGGGTCCCGGTTTCCATTTGTCTTGTTTCCTTGTCCCTTCTTGTCTTTGGTTTGGGGCCGATGTGGCCATTTTAGTCACATATGGTTTACCACAGGTGGGTTTCCACCTGCTCTAAGGAGGAGCACCTTCGTCCAGGTATTATGGCTGATTTTATAGGTGCACCTATTAAGGTGTGGTGGTGCTGTGGGCTAAAGTGCTGGACCTCAAGGTCAGTGGTTCAGATTCACCAGCCGCTCCTTGGAAACCCTATATGGGGTCACTATGAGTCGGGGTCGCTCTGAGCTGGAACCGACTTGACAGTACTTCCCAACAACAGCTATTAAGTGGCTGAAGGTGACCTCCTCCTTCTCAAGTTTAAAGATTGTCTTAGAGCGATCATCTCAGGGGATTCACCACTCTCCTTCAGACCAGTATGTTTTTGTTTTTATTTTCCACTTTGAGGTTTGTTCTACATTCTTTACACATTATAACCAGGAACCTTCTATTGTGGTCAGTAGCAGAAGCTGGGCACCATTTAGTTCTTCTGGTCTCAGGTTAGGGGAGGCTGTGGTTCATGTGGGGAAACTGAGAGAAAAAGTCACTGAGCTGGTAGGTGGTGGAGCTGGGATTTGAACCCAGACATCTGCTCTGGAGTTCTGTAGTTTAGGTTGTTAGAATATTTTCAGCAATTGATCCCAACAACAAGCTCGCGTGGCCTGCGTGCTGTATGCTAGGGTGAAGCAGTGCTTCGTCTGCCCCTCTGCTACAGTCCTCACGATGACCACCACCTGTCCCAGTGAGGAAGGGCCAGCTCACTGCCCAGGGCATATAGCTCTCAGGGGCGGAGGTGAGGCTCAGTCTAGGCGTCCACGCTCTTACCTTACAGCCCTGCTTTACTGAGCCACCTCTTCCATCCTCTCTCTGGGCGCCCAGGGAGTGTGTTAAGGCCGTGGTGGATGGCGGAGCAAGTTAGAACAAAGGGGCTGTCTCTGCTGCAGCTCCTGGACCTGCCTCGTGGACCTGGAGGGACTCAACATGCGGCACCTGTGGCGGCCGGGGGTGAAAGCACTGCTGCGAATGATTGAGGTGGTGGAGGACAACTACCCCGAGACCCTGGGCCGGCTACTCATCGTGCGGGCCCCCCGAGTCTTCCCCGTGCTCTGGACGCTGGTAAGGGCTAAGCCATGACTGGATCCACCCCAGTGGAAATTGATGAATGAGCAAGATTGAGGGGGTGCCCCGTGAACTGCCCCGCCCTACCTTTTGTCCTATTTGATTTGTAGTATGTGGTGGTGTCATTGATTTATTCTAACATGGTCTTATTGGTCAGTACATTCTCATTTCTTCTTTTTATTTGTTTATGTATTTATTTAGATTTTGCTGTTAAGAATATATGGTTTACTATTTGAAGATTATCTCTGGGCAGTAGTTTCAAGGGTTCATTCAGACTCCATGGCTCTATAAAGTCGAGAATCCATAAGAATTTAACATTCTGTTCTGATTTTTGTGCCTTTTGGTCAGAATCTTCTATGGATCCTTGATCAAGGTGATCAATAATGGTAGCACTCATTTCTTTTTAATAACAACATCTGTGACGTTGTTCACATATGACTTCACCATTTTACAATGTACAGTTTCTTGGGTTTTAGTATATTCACAAGACTGTAGTTGTAGGACATTTCAGCACCTCACCAAGAACCCGTGCACCAGTTAGTAGTCACGCCTCATGTTTCCCTTCCCCACCCCCTGATACTGTTGTGTGCCATTGACTTGATTCTGACTCATAGAAACCCTATAGGAGACAGTAGAACTGCCCCCATAGGATTCCCTAGGCTTTAATCTTCAATGGGAGCAGTTCACCACATGGGTTCAAACTGCCAGCCTGTTGGCTAATAGCCTTGGTGCGTAATGCCCTCAATCCCTAGGCAACCACAAATCTACTTTCTGTGCATGTGGATTTGCCTATTCTGGACATTTCACAGAAATGGGCCTTTTGTGAAGCATTTCTTTTCAGTGGGCATCGTATTTCCAAGGTCCGTCTGTGTGGGAGCAGGTAGCCGGCCCTCATTCCTCTTTATGGCTGAGTAATAGTCCACTGATGAATGGACCACATGATTGTTGAGCCCAGATGGAAAGTTATTGTTACTTTAGAACATGTATTGTCAACTTGGTTTCTCAGTGCATCTTTGATGTTCATGGAAGATTCAGTAAAAGGTGAATGAATGAATGAATATTTCCGATGCTCATGGAGAGTTCAGTAATGGTGAATGCATAAATAAATGGATGACTATCTCTGATGATCGCGAAGGATTCAGTAAAGGTGAAGGAATGAATGGATGAGCATCTTCAGTGCTCATGGAGGACTCAGTAATGGTGAATGAATGGATGGAGGAGAATGGCCAAGTAGACATGAAGCAATTCAACAATAGAACCATCTGGAACTGGGAATAGTTCAATGAAAACAAACACTTTCCATCTCACTCATCTCCCCCATTCCAGATCAGCCCCTTCATCAACGAGAACACCAGACAGAAATTCCTTATCTACAGCGGCAGCAATTACCAGGGCCCTGGGGGCCTGGTGGACTATCTGGATAAGGAAGTGATCCCTGACTTTCTGGGGGGTGACTGTGTGGTGAGTTCAGTGGCTGGACCACTATCATCCTGTCATCTCCTTGGGACCTTTGGTACCAAGACTCCTGAGCCCCCAGCCTTCAAGATGTGGCTCCACAGCACTGGAGTCAGGCGAGGTTGTACTAACACTGTCCCCAAACGTTGGGACTCCTTTTTGAATCTGTGCTTTCATGTTGGTTCTTTCAAACACAAGAGAGACAGAAGTCTCAGGAAGCCCAGTCACCAGCTCTGAGGTTTACCAGTTGCCATGGAGTTGGCTCCTGCTCACAGTGGCCCCATGTGTGTTGGAGTAGCGCTGTGCTCCGTGGGGTTCACAGTGACTGATTTTTTACAAGTGGATTGCTAGGTCTTTATTCCAGAGCACCTCTGGGCAGACTCAAACCCTCAACCTTTTGGTTCACAGCTGAGTGTGTTAACCAGTGCCAACATGGCCTAGTTGTTGTTAGGTGCCATCGAGTCGGTACCGACTCATAGCGACCTTATGCACAGCCGAATGAAAACTGCCTGATCCTGGGCTAACCTCACTACTGTTGCCACGCTTGAGCCCACTGATGCTGCCACTTTGCCAATCCATCTCGTTGGGGGTCTTCTGCCTTTTTCTCTGTCCCTCCACCCTACCAAACATGATATCCTTCTCTAGTGACTGGTCCCTCCTGACAATATGTCCAAAGTATGACAGACGAAGTTTGGCCATCTTGGCCTCCAAGAAGCACTCTGGCTGCACTTCTTCCAAAACGGATCTATTGGTTCTTTTGGCAGTCCATGGCACTTTCATTATTCTCCTCCAACGCCATAACTCAAAACCATCAATTCTTCTATGCTCTTCCTTATTCACTGTCCAGCTTTCTCATGTATATGAGGTTATTGAAAATACCATGGCTTGGGTCAGGCGCACCTTAGTCCTCAAGCTGACATCTTTGCTTTTCAACACATTAAAAATGTCTTGTGCATCAGATTTGCCTAATGCAATACGTTGTTTAGTTAGTATATATAATTCATGAGATTGTGCAACCAACCTCTGCCAAAGGGTCATTGTTGTTAAGTGTGTCAAGTCGGTTCCGACTCATAGCAACCTTGTATAGGGTTTCTGAGGAGCTGCAGGTGGATTTGAACCGCCGACCTTTGCAGTTAGCAGTCCAGTACTTATCCTACAGTGCCACACCAGGACTCCCATCCTTATGCCCTTTCCAAGGTGTTGCTAAGCAGTTGTCAGAGTTTACTTGCTCGCAAGGGCAGACATAAATGCCCCCCACATCCCTGGCCCCTGGGCTGGTGTGCCCAAAGGGATTTGTCTCCATCCACAACCGTACACCAGTGTGGGAGCATCCAGCAGCTGTTATAAGGGACGGGAGGGCTGAGTGCTCCCTGGGGCTGAAATGATTGTTGGCCCCCTCCATTCTACTCTAACAGAAATTCTGCAGAGTGCAGAATTCCCAGCTAGAAAAAGGCTTTTCATAGGGATGGCCTTACCTGCTTTCTCTACTTGTTGCGACAGTGTATGTGGCTTATTTTGAGCAGATGGCCTGCAGCTCTCAGAGTGACTGTCTAAGAGCAGTGATGAGTTGGAACCGACTCCACAGCACATAACAACAGCAACAGCCATCTAAAGGTCGGTGGTTCAAACCATCTGCCACTCTGTGTGAGAAAGATCAGGTTGTCTGTGCCCATAAAAAGTCCCCATCTAGAAAACCTTCTGTAGGATCATTATGAGCCCTGTCATGACTGCAGAATAAGCACTGGACTGCTAACAGCAAGGTCAAAGGTTCAAATCCACCAGCCGCTCCTCAGAACCCTATATAGGGTTGCCATGAATCAGAACCAGTTTGACGGCACTTAACAACAATGAATTGTTCAGTACAATCCCAGTGTTGAGTAACTATCACCACTGTGTGTTCCCAGAACATTTTCATCACCCCAAACAGAAATCCCGACCCTTTAAGCTCCTGAGTCCCCAGTGCTCTCCAGCCCCCGGTAACCGCTAGTTTACTTTCTGTCTCTATGCATTTGCTTGTTGTAGATCTTTCATGTAAATAGGGTCAGATGTACTTGTCAACACCCTTTGTCTTTGTCTCTCAGTGTAATGTCCCTGAAGGAGGGCTGGTCCCCAAGTCCCTCTATTTGACAGAGGAAGACTATGAACATGCTGACCAGCTGAGGCAGTGGACGGAGACCTACCATTCAGCCAGTGTGCTCCGGGGGGCCCCCCATGAGGTGCTGCACTTGGCCAGGGAGGGCCTTGGGGGCTGGAAATGGTGACTAGTTGACAGACAGCTCTCTGGGCCAGGCTGGGTTTGGGGAAGAATCTAAGCCTAGAGGGGTTTCCGCCTCCACCCAGCCTTGGGCTGAGCCCCCAGGAGCTGTGGCATGTGAGCAGGTCTCTATACCTCCATCCTGGTCAGACTCTGGCTGTGGTCTGCCCCAGGCATAGGCACTTTAGAGAGAGGTGGTTCCTTAGTGGTTCTCCGGACCAGGGACAGCTGTGGGCCTCAGTAGCTCACACTCGGGGAGTAAGCATGTGACTCAGGAAAGGGTACTCCAACACCTCCTAAGTCTGGCTCCCCCATCCAAGCTCCCCCCACCCCTCCTCCTAGCCCGGATCTTCAGCCCTCGCTGTGTCTTTTGCAGGTCATGGTGGAGATCCTGGAAGGGGAGTCGGTCATCACCTGGGACTTTGACATCTTGCGGGGGGACGTGGTGTTTAGTCTGTACCATGCCAAGCAGGCGCCCACGCCGGGTCCCTGGGAGCCTGGGGCCAAGGCCAGTGGGCGGCTGGTGGACAAAGGCTGGGCTCTGGGCACTGATTACAGCCGTGTAGAGACGCCTCTCATCTGCCGGGAAGGGGAGAGCATTCAGGTGGGTGTTCCTCTAGTTACATGTTCACTTGTCACACACTGTTGAGTATCCCCCAGGTGCCAGGCTCTGGGGACACAGCCGTGGGCCAAACAGATGACATCTGGGCTTCAGGGACCTTGTGAGGCAGTAAGAGAGAGAGACGTCAACATGAGCACTCACCTAGCCAAACAGTGGTCAGTGCAGCAGAAAACGTGTGAGGCATTGCGGAGAGGGACAAGCAGCATATTGGCCATGGAAGGTAACAGGCTCTGGAGCCTCAGTTCTCCCATCTGAGAAATGGAAACCATACAGTATCTAAGTGAATTAGCCCCAGGGCTGCCTTTGGAGTCCCTGAGGAGTGGGATGAATGGTTAAGTGCTCGATGGGAAACCAAAAGGCTGGCAGTTTGAACCCCCACAGAGACACCTCAAAAGAAAGCCTGGTGATCTGCTTCCAAAAGGTCACGGCCTTGAAAACCCCCACGGAGCACAGAGGGTCATCGTGACTCGACGGCAATTGGGGTTTTTGGTTTTTGCAGAACAGTGTTGTTATTAGGTGCTTTCAAGTTGGTTCCGACTCTTAGCAACTCTGTGTCCAACTGAACACAACCCAGCCCCCTCCTGCACTATCCTCACAGCCATTGCCATGTGTGAGCACATGTGGCAGCCACCGTGCCAACCCATCTCATTGGCAGTCTTCCTCTTTCTCACTGACCCTCCATTTTACCAAACATCATGTCCTTCTCTGGGGACTAGTCCTCCCGAAGGGCATGAGACAAAATCTCGCCATCTTTACTTCTAAGGAGCAATTTAGCTGTACTTCTTCCAAGACAGATTTGTTTGTTCTTCTGAAAGTACATGATGTATTCAATATTCTTTGTTAACACCAAAAATTCAAATGCATCAACTTTTCTCTGGTCTTCCTTATTCATTATCCAGCTTTCATTTACCTATGAGGTGACTGAGAACCCCATGGCATGGGTTAGGTGCACCTTAGCCACAAGCTGGAGGGTTTAAAACAACAGAAGTTTATCCTTGGTGAGACCTGCAGGATAGAAGTCTGAAATCAGGGTGTTGGCAGGGCCATGCACTCCCTGGAGGCTTTGGGGAAGCGTCCTTGCTGGTCTCTCTCCAGCTTCCGGTGGCTGCCAGCATTTCTTGGCTTGTAGATATATCACTCAGGAATCTCCGTCCATCTGCACATGGCTGCCTTCCCTCTGAGTCTCTCTTTGGATTTTAGGTCTTTTCTACTCTGTCTTATAAAGACACCTTCATTACACCTGCAAAGGTCCTATTTCCAAATAGGGTTGCATCCTGGGGTTTAGGGTGGACGTAAACTTCTCGGGGACATTTTTCATCCCAGGCAGAAGTCAGGAGGATGAGAGGAGCGAAAACATGTCAGTACTCACAGCAGTGGTTGGCATGTGGAAGCATCTGTAATCTTACCAATGGTGGTACGTCACAGGCTGTGTGTGTATGTGTGTGTGTGGTTGGGGACTGACGTGGAAGGATTTATGGAGGAAGGGACACTTGTCCGGAATCCTGAAAGATGGAGTAGACTTTTCTAGAACCTTCTTAAAAGAGCAGAGAGAATTGCAATGTGTAAGATCATGGATAACGTGAGTGTGGAGGAGACCCCCCTTGGTCTATGGTATTGTTGTTAAGTGCCATCGAGTCAATTCTGACCCATAGTGACCCTGTATAGGGTTTCCGAAGAGCAGCTGGTGAGCTTGAACGGCTTTGCAGTTTGGCGCATTAATCCACAGCAGGACACCAGGGCTTCCCTTAGTCTGTAGTGATGTTAAATAATTAAGGCAGGTCTTTGTCGTGTCTGTGGGCACCTCTCTGAGGCCTGGCACACTCAGGTGACCAGAACATGAGTCATGGGGCTGCCAGGAGTGGGCTGGGATGAGTTGCTTTCAAGAACAAGGACCAGGAACTGGGACTGTTTTCCCACAACAGAACCTAGCCTGGGTGAGCCAAGACCTGCCAAATCAAAAGAGTGAACCAGATGTTGGTAGGAAGAAACATTGTTGAGAAGACAAATGGGGAGGGCTGGTTCCAATAGAGAGGAGTCTATGGTAGTAGGAAGGTCTACAAGCTGCTTGAGAATTGAGGGAAATCCCAGTTTTTCTTTTATAAAAGATGTGATTGCAAATCAGAGACTTCATGTGTGGGGGGAGACCTGCTCCACTCCAGGAAAGGACCCTCAAGGAAGGAGGGCTTGTAGGCTGACTCAACATGCAGGAACTTGGGGAAGGAGAGAAGCTTTGTTCTGATTGGTCAGTGAGGACAAGCAGTTCTGGGGCTCCTGTAGGAGGCAAAAGATTGGTCTGGCTTGTCATAAGTAAAAGAGGGGGTGGCTTATGCAGTAAGGGTGGGAGGTTTTCTTAAGCATTGCTGTTTCTGCCAGGTTCAGATAAACCCGGCATTATCAGACCAGAAAGTTGAGGGGGGCTGCCATGTGGGGAGGGCTGCCATCCATCCCAGAGATGGGGCCAAGAGCTGGACCAGGTGAGGGTCCACTGAGGGAGGTTCCAAGAATGCAGAATTTAAGGTGGTGCTCACACTCAGGGTCATGTGATGCCACCTTAAATTTCAGGCCTCTTCCACCAACCCGAAGGAGCCCTGGTAGTATAGTGATTATGCACTGGGCTGCTAACCACAAGGCCAGCAGTTCAAATCTACCAGCTGCTCCGTAGGAGAAAGATGAGGCTTTCTGCTCCCTAGATATTTACAACCTCTGGAACTCAGGGCCACTCTGAGTTGGAATCCACTTGGTGTCAGTGAGTTTCCCACTCACCCTAATCTGGTCTGTGTGGGCTGCTCTGGGCCAGATCTCAGGGGCCACAGTGAAGTTAAAGGTCATGCAGCTGAGAGGGAAGGCTGGACAGGTGATTCACGTCGATTTACAAAGCTCCCGATGACTCCAGGTGTGTCAGAGTAGAGCTGTCCCCAGGGTTTTCAGAAGCAGATCTCCGGATCTTTCTTCCAGGTGCCACTGGGTGGACTTGAACCTACAGTTTGCAGTGAGCACTTTAACCACTTGTGCCACCAGACACAGGAGGCAGGGTCCACTTGTCCCTGTGAAAGCTCAGCCCTGGCCCTGGACCTAACAGGACCTCACATGGATTCTGTCTTCCAGGGCTCCCATGTCACCCGCTGGCCTGGCGTCTATCTGCTGCAGTGGCAGATGCACGGGGCGCCCAGCAGCATGGCTTGCAGCCTCCCTGGTGTGGACGATGTCTTGACTGCCCTGCACAGCCCCGGCCCCAAGTGCAAACTGCTTTACTACTATGAAGTGCTGGCGTCTGAGGACTTCAGGTAGGAGGAACAGGGGACTGGGATGCTTCTGCGGGCCAGACCCACACATTCCTGAGCACCCTTCCGGGTTGGGGGTGTGGGTACCCTCCAGATTGTGAGACTTCAGAAAGGGCCCTAGCTCTGGGAAGGGTGTGTCAGGGAGGCTTTCTGAAGGAAGTTGTTAGTTATGGTCAACTGGAATCCAACTCTTGGTGATCCCGTGTATACGGAGTTGATGTACACAATCAAGTCAGTTCTGACTCATAGTGACCCTGTATAGAGTTTCCAAAGAATAGCTGGTGAGCTTGAACCACCAACCTTCCTTGTGGTTCAAACCAACTTTGCAGTCCAACGCATTAACCTACAGCATCACCCCAGGACTCGCATGTACAGAGCAGAATTGCCCCACGGGGTTTTCATGGTTGTGGCCTTTGGAAAGCAGATTGCCAGGCCTGTGAATTAGTTTTCTGGTGCTGTTTTGACAGAATTACCATGAGGGGGCAGCTTTAGCAAACTGTTTGCTGGTGGCAGTGTGCTGTGGAGTCAGGTCCCAGTCTAGTGACTCTGCATAGGGTTTCAGAGGCTGTAAATCTTTACGGGAGCAAGCAGAAAGCCTCTTTCTCCTGAAGAACGTTTGGTAGTTTTGAAACTGCTGACCTTCGGGTTCGTAGCCTGACTTGTAACCACTAAGCTAGAAGTCCAAATTCAGGACCAGCTGTAGAGGAAGCCTGTCTCTTTCTGTTGTCTCAAGGGGAAGGCCCTAGTCTCCTTTCAGCATCTGTAGCCCCAGCGTTCCTTGCACATCTCCATGCATCTTGGCATCTGTCTTGCCCTGGGTCTAGGAGCGTCACAACGCAGGGTCCAAAGGAGGCGCTGCATTTCCCGTTCTGGTTTCTTGGTGGTAGTAGGTCTGTCCTTCTCTGCCCACTTCTCTCTCCTTTGATCTTGTAAGATAAGAGGTGTTGCCGGCCACACCCTGGGGTGCTGTATGGCACCTTTAGTCCTCTTACTTATTCATCACATCAGATCACGTCGTGGGGATCATCATACAGCTGCCAAAGCTCTGAGAACCACACCGCAGCTCACTGTGCCAGCCAGGTGTAGTAATGCAAATTAGCAACAGCTAGGTTGCAGCAAAACGGACCAATGCAGTTCTCAGTTGTTCCCACCATGCTCAAGTGCTCAGCAGACCCGTGTGCTTGTGGGACATGTGGGACAGAGCAGACATAGTTTGTGTCCATACTTATCAAATTCTGCAGCTCGGAAGTTTGCAGTAGAGTTCACCTAACAAAGCCGGGTGGGGAAAGAGTGTTTACATAGCAGCACATGCAAAGATCCTGAGGCTGGAGGGAGCAGCCAGAGGCCAATGTGACTTGAGAGCAGAGTGGCAGAGCAGGTGAGGCCGGAGGTGGGGTGGGACACTTCCAGGCTGTGTCCAGGTCTGTTTGGGGATAGAGCTCTCTGTTTGGAGGTGGTGTGGAAGAAGGGCTGGACTTAATTTTTCATCTTTATGTCCCCCTTGACTCAGCCCCTGGTGGTTAGGTTACCAGCCCTGTGTTGCGAACCCTGGGACCTCATTTGCAATGTCAACAGCTTTCCCTCTGCTGGGGACCAGCCCCTGTGCTGCATTTCCACCCACAGGTAGGTGACACTGTGCCCTGCTTTCCCAGGGGCTCCATGACCAGCTTGGAATCGTGCACCAGTGGCTTCTCCCAGCTCAGCGCTGCCACTTCCTCCTCCTCCGGCCAGTCCAACAGCAGCTCCCTCGGCTCCAGATAGCACCCCCACAGCCATCCGGAAGTGTCCAGAACCAGGAACCAGCTGGCTGCCAGGCCTGGGGCCACGTGGGCTGGTGGCCCAAGTCACAGCGTCTGGAGTCTGTGTGCGTGTGAGGCTCTAGGTCCAGGCCTCGAGGTTGCAAGCAACAGACAGAACCTTGTAAGGAAAGTCCAGGGGGTCACTCTAAGAACAATGGGGCCACCTGGGTCTTGGGCCTCAAGTGATGATGTCATCAGAGTTCGCCCTGCTCTCTCCCTGTCTTGCTCTGCTTTCTCCTGGGTCCTCTTCATTCTCAGGTAGGCCTTCCCCATGCAGGGGACCCCCAGCACCACTGGCTCCCCTCCCTACCTCAGCAGCTGTAAGAGAGAAAGTGTTGTTTTCTTTTGAAGTTCTAGAATGCCCTGCCCCGAACTTGAGTCTCCTTTAACAGGGTCCCCTGCACATTTCTGAGCCAATCGCAGAGGCCAGAAGAACAGAAAACACAGATTGGCCAGCAGAAGGGTCATGTGACCAGGGGGTGTATGCAGTGGTTGGCCAGCCTGGGTAACATGTACACTCTTAAGGGCCAACCATATGGACTGAATGGGCAAATGGGTGCCCAAGAGAATATTGAAGTTCCCTCAGGGGCTAGGGCGCTAGGCAGACAAGATGGCAGGGGTTCACCATGGCATCTGATTCTGTGGGCGATGCCCAGTGCTCCGAGATGTCTGTGGTTGAGCAGTTGTATAAGCCATAGACTATTTCTGTGGGGAGGAGCCCAGTCCAGAAGCAAAAACCATTTCCCAGTGCTCAACCTAGCCCCGAACATCCATGATCTGAAGAAAGGGGGATGTCTGGGCCTTTTGCTAAGTTTCAGGCAGCAGTGAGGCAATTCAGGCTGTCCTATACGCCCCTGCAGACTCCTTTATTTCCTGGGTATCAGTTTAAAGATGCTATTTTTGGTTATAAGTCACAGAGATGCATCTCCCAGTAGCTTAGACCAAAAAGGGTAACCATTTGTTGGTGCATGTAACTTATCAGCCTAAGGGGGCTTCAGGTGCGGCTGGATCCAGGTGTCAGCACAGCGTCAGAATCTTCCTTTGTTGGTTCTGCCCTGGGGCAGATCTGACTCACAGAACCAGCTCCAACATTGACCTCAAATTTCTGTATGTTCCTGGAAGGGAGATTCTTGGGTCTCCTTGGTATCCGAGGACCATTCTCCCCTCAATTCCTGGGCCCTAAAAGAGGCAACCGAGTCCTGGTGTGGCGTTGTAGAATCAGCACTGGACTGCCAACTAAAAAGTCAGCAGTTCAAACCCACCAGCTGCTCCTTGGAAACCCTCTCCAGGGTTGCTAGGAGTTGAAACAGACTAGAAAACACTTAGAAACAGCAACAAAAGTGGCAACAGATCAGAGGTTCCCAGTTGGCCACCTGCCCTTAGTTTTGGAATATTTCGTTTTGTCTATAGAGTGAGCTAAACATTGGGAATTTTTCCTTAAAATTCAGCCCTTGTACCCTGGGTGGGATTGCCCTAGTCCTCACCTGTCTCTATTGCCTCATGCCCTGCCCACGTCTTATTCGTATATGTCTGCAAGGGAAATGCAGGTTCAACAGCAGCCTAACCTCCAGTCTAGGGGCTGAGTGCTCAGCAGTGGTGTTCTCTTGGGGACCTTGGAGTTGAGGACTTTCTGTGGATGACCCCCAGAGTTACTGGCCTTGTGCAACAGGTTAATTTACAGGGATGGGGATCATCATCCCATCAAAGGGCCAGAATGATTGGACCAAAGTCAGAGGTTGCTCTTTTTAGTGACATCTTCCTCCCGGCAGAGCAAGGGCCTCCTCCGGCTTTGTGTTGGCTCTTCTTGTGGGTCTCAGGTAATAACTCTGGAAGTGTTTGGGGATCAGCTCTCTCTGGAATTGGAGGGTGCCTCTGTCTTCTCCTCTTTTCCCCTCCTGCAGAGGCTACGAGCACAGCGGCTGGTCTTAGAGCCCCTCTGTGGTTTCTGTCTGGAGGTAGACATTGGAAAGGAATGTGTTAATAACAGCGGGTCTCTGTAGATATCGGTCATCATTGGAAAGAACGTGTTAGTAACATCTGTCATTAGAGTCAAAAGCAATGGTAGAGGCTTAGGTTGGTCTCCTTATGTTTATTGTCAAGGGTCAGGGCTCAGAGAAGGAGGGATTTTCATTGGCTTTAGATAACTGGAATTACTCAAGTCTGTTGATTCCAGAGATGGAGAAACCTGCCGGCAATAGCCCAGTTTTCATGGCAGGGATGAATGAGGAGCCTCGGAACTCATGAGCATTTTCTCTCCCCTGGAAAGAAACTGACTTACTGCTGGCTTAAGCCAAGCAGGGAAGTCACAGGTTCCTATTGCTGGGAGGGTTGAGTGTCCTTCAGGTATAGCTGGATCCAGGAGCCAGCTCCTCAGGGCTCAGTCTCTCATCTCTGCATCTGTCTGCACACTGGCCTTATTCTCTCCTCCACCTGGTGACTCCCAGCAGTGCCAAGCCTTCAACCCCATGGCTCAGGACCTCTTCCACATCTCAAATCTCAGAAAAACGCTCTGATTGGACTTGCTTCAGTCAGGTGCTTCCTCCTGCGACCTGTATTGGCCAAGGGGTTGGGTGTCCTGTGATTGGTGTTCCCCCCAGCAGTGACAGTGAGATGGAGGAGGGTCAGATCCCAGTGGACCATCATGGCCACACCACAGCAGGTAACCATGCTGGTATTGCCTCTGGTTCCCCTCCCATGCTTGGGGTCTTCATGGCCTATCAACAGCATTATCAAGGAGCCCTTCCTCTTGTCTATAGAATGTTTAGACTGAAAACTCCAAAGATGGGAGTTTCTGACTTTTATATATCCCCATCCCAAGGTCTGGAAACCACTCGGGTTGACATCTTTTTCCATCTGGTTGGTTAGAACAGCAAGAGCAGTAACAACTGCTAGCTGCAACCCCCTCCCCAGGCACCATGTTGTTTGAGGAGCCCTGGGGCTCGAATTTAGACAGGGTGGTTTTCAAACCCCAGCCTTTCTTTCGGTGACTTAACTTCTCTGTGCCTCAGTTTCCTCATCTGTAAAATGGGGATAGCAGTGCCTACCTCACTGGGTTGTAGTGGTACAAAGAGAGATAGCTACTGTCAAATCCTTAGCACATTGTAGAACACACAGAAATGCTCTGCAAACACCAGCTGTTATTCCGATTATTCAGTGCTTCTCATCCAGGGATTCCAGGGGCCTTCCCCAAGATACTTGTCCCTGTCTTTCATGGGACAGAAGACTTCAGAGTGCTGCGTAGGTCCAGGTCCAGTGGGTATCAAACTGTTAACTTCTGACATGGTTGGGTGGGCAGTTAGGTTCTTCCTTCTGGAAGCAGCTTGCGTTTTCTGGAATCTTCTGCAAATCCACTAACCCAGAAGAGCATCCACTGAAGTGACATTTCCTCCCCCCACCTTCAAGAGGATGTTTTGGAATAAGCAGACTTTAAGATTTTCTTCCTACTCTGCCTTCTGTGATGTTTCCCCCTCTGTGATAGCAATTATTCACTGAGAGTAGTGTACGTTTCCCCTCACAATACCTGTTTCAGTCCCTAAAATGTGTTCCTTGCTTGCCTGATCATTTGCTCCAACCAGAAGCATTAAACATTTTAGATTTGGATATAAGCTCTTATCTGCTTCCTAAAACCTTGGGGTTGTCCCTGTGGTTGTTCAAGAATGTCTTAGCTGTTGTTTAGAAGGCTCCAGAGGCTCTGGAGCTCTGGTAGTGTAGTGGTTACGAATCGGGTTACGAACCTCAAGGTCAGCAGTTCGAAACTACTAGCTGTTCTGTGGGAGAAAGATGAGGCTTTCTGCTGCCATAAAGATTTACAGCCTCGGAAACCCTGTACAGGGTCGCTATGGGTCAGAACCGACTCCACGGCACACAACAACAACAGAGCATCCTTACAAGGGTAAATAGCTTCCTCAAGGGGTCAAAAATTGGTGGTATGGTAGTGTGGGGAGCTTACCTTTGTTAACATCTAAAGCACAGAGACATAAACATATATACAGCCTGAACATCAGTGATAGGAAACTTTAATGGCAGGAGCTGTGATTAGGAAGAAAAAAGTCAAACCCACTGTTGTCAGTTCCAACTTAGAGTGACCCTAGAGGATGGAATCCTGGTGTGGGATAAGCACTGGACTGCTAACCACAAGGGTGGCAGTTCAAACCCACCGGTTGTTCTTTGATCACTGTGAGTAGGAACCGACTTGCTGGCACTTAACAACAGAACTGTCCCTTAGAGCTCCCAAGGTTGTAGAAGCAGATGACCATACCTTTCTCCCATGGAGCGCCCGGTGGGCTCGAACCACCAACTTTTCAGTTAGCAGACCAAAGCTTAACCCACTCTGCCACCAGGGCTCCCTAATCAGAGGTAAGTGTCGTTAAGTTGGTTCCAACTCACAGTGACTCTGTATAGGGTTTTCAAGAAGCAGCTGGTGTGTTTGAACCACCAAGGTTGTGGTTCAAACTGACCTTACAGTCCAATGCTTTATCCTACAGCGCCACACCAGAACTCCCCCTAATCAGAAGGGCTCCTAAAACAAAACAGACCCATTACTGTCTAGTCAATTCTGACTTCTGACTACTCCATGTGTGTCCGAGTAAAACTGTGCTCCACAGGGTTTTCAGTAACTGAGTTTTCAGAAGTAGATTGCCAGGCATTTCTTCCAAGGTGCCTCGGAATCGACTTGAACCTTCAATCTTTTTGTTACTGGCTAAGGAGGGATGATTTAAAAACAAAAAAGATTGAGTAGCGTTGCTCTGGAATAAGCTACCATTGAGTCTGCTCTGTAGATAACTGCCCAGTTATTGATACTGTGGCATCCAGTGACCAGGCAGATGTCACCAGAAGCAGCCCTCTTCCCCAAGTCATGCAAGCTATGACTTGCCTTCAGCAGGCTCACTCGGTCCCTTGTTTAAACTGCAGATCCTGGGGGCCCACTCTGCACTGCTGACCCAGGAATCTTATAGATGAGTT